CATAGATTAGTTGTGGCTACTCTCCGGGTCCACTTTAGAACCCCCCGTCGCCCAAATGAACAGCCTAGGGTGTTTCTTTGGATAGATTGAGGGAGAACTTTCAAGCGTGAAACACTTGATGCAGCCCATGAATCGATCGGTGAATGCCCAAGAGCAAGACTGAATTCCATATCGCAGGAGACATTGGAAGCTACAGATGCTTTTTGTGCAGCTCAAATGTCAGAGTAGATCGAAAGCCATTTCTTAGTAAATGACCTTCGTCCTGCCTACCAAGCCCAGAGAAAGCTGAACTCCAAGCCCTCATCTCAGATTCTGATGGGGTGCATGTACGTTGGGCTGGGTATTTTGAGCACTTGTATCAGGTTGATCCACCAACAGTTAACTTGGATGTGGGTAATGTTGAGATTCCTCTGCCAGACCCACCCATCAGCGAGGATCTACCCTCCCTGATTGAAGTCAGGCGATTTCCAAGCTGAAGAGTGGTTAAGCAGCAGGTGTTTGTGGCATCCCAACTGAATTCTTAAAGGCTGGTGGAAGACTTATGACAAGGAGCTTGCATGCAGTTCTGTCTTCCATCTGGCAGACTGTTACCATTCCCCTTGACCTGCTGAGGGGTGTGGCCATCCCTCTCTGGAAGGGGAAAGGGGATCGGTGGGACTGCAGCAATTACCGAGGCATTACACTACTCAGTATACCAGGCAAGGTACTTGTACACATCCTACTGAGACGAATCAGAGACCACCTGCTGAGGCACCAAAGGCCAGAGCAATTTTAATTCACTCCTGGTAAGTCCACAATAGACCGCATCCTGGCACTTCGAGTCATTGTAAAGCGCCACCGTGAGTTCAGACGTGGGCTGCTCGCAGCTTACATAGATGGCGTTTGATAAGGTGCGTCGGGAATCACTCTGGGAGATCCTGAGGCTAAGAGCAATTCCAACAAGGATTGTTGGATTAATAGCAAACCTGTATACAGGCACTGAGAGTGCTGTAAAGTGTGGTGGGGGCCTGTCAACCTTCTTCCCTGTTAGTTCAGGTGTGAGGCAAGGCTGTGTTCTTGCACCAACACTCTTCATCATTTGCATGGATTGGATACTGGGTAGAGCTACTGTCCAAAGTCACTGTGGAGCAACTCTGGACAATCTCAAGGTTACTGGCCCTGACTTTGCTGATGATGTTGCCATTCTATCTAAATCTCTAGAAACCCTAGTGGCGGCTCTTGATGTATTTAGCAATGAAGCAAAGCCCCTGGGGCTAGAGGTCTCCTGGACCAAGACCAAGATCCAGGATTTTGGGGGCCTAGCAGGAGACCCTGTGCAGTCAGTACATGCTTGCAGTGAAAACATCGAAATCACAGAGAGCTTTATATACCTCGGTAGTACAGTTCACAACTCTGGGCTGTCAGACCAGGAAGTCAGTAGATGGACTGGCCTGGCAGCAGGGGTCATGAAATCTTTCAACAAGGGTATTTGGAGATATTGGTACCTGTGCAGAAAGACCAAGCTACGTGTTTTCAAGGCCCTGATACTGCTAGTTTTACTATATGATAGTGAAACGCTATCTTGTGCTTTGGAATCTCGTCTTGATGCCTTCTGTAACAGATCCTTGCGCCGGATCATGGGGTACAGTTGGCGGGACCAGGTGTCCAACCAATGGCTGCACCATGAGACCGGTAAAGGACCTGTTACTTGCATAATCCGCGATCGCTAACTCAGGCTATATGGCCATTTGGCTTGATTCCCGCAGGATAACCCTGCCCACCAGGTTGTCTCTGCCTGAGACAACCCTGGGTGGAGGAGGCCTGTGGGACGACCGAGAAAGTCATGGCTTAGGCAGATCGATCAAACCTGTTGTGAGGCGCTAGAGATGGGCCGGGCCCCTACCTGGCGGTTCGCCATGAGGGACTCTCGTAGGTAGAATCAAAGGGTGGATACCGGCGTTAGCTCCCAAATGATGATGATGATGATTATATTTATTATGATTATTAGTAGTAGTATTGTCATCACTATCATATTTTTTGTTATTACTATCATTATCATGATTCTTACTGTTATTAGTACTATTGTTATTATCACTAATATTATCATTATACACAGGCTCACAGACACAGGCACAACGTTAGTAATTATGTAGAGCAGTTTACCCGAGTCCAAGAAGAGAGCACAGGAAGTGGTGCATAGGTTTGCATGTGTACAAAGAAAATTGTAATGGGTAAACTATTATAGACTATGAGAAATCAACCTATATGCGGTATCAAGAACAAACGCAGGGTGTGAAATAAGGGAGGGTGGATGGTGAGGAAAAATCGTACAGAAATTTATAAATATTTTCAAGAAAAGTATGTGCATACAGTAATACACCAGATTATACATATATGCATGCACATAGATGTTTCTTTCTCCCTCTCTCTCTCTCTCTCTTTCGCTCTCTCTCTCTCTCTCTCTCTCTCTCTCTCTCTCTCTCTCTCTCTCTCTCTCTCTCTCTCTCTCTCTTTCTCTCTC